ATGATATTGAATATATATTGTATATTCCTCTTGAATTCTTTTTGGTTCTAATTTCAAATTTGTTTGAAATTGTACATTCATATGCATGTATGTAGTACCGTAGAATATGTGAAACTCCTTCAAAATTAAAATAAAGCACAAAAGAAATAAAACAATACATATTAAACAGAAAACAGGTTTAAGGGAGGGGGGGGGGGCTAAAACCCTAAACCTGCGGCGGCCTTTAGTCGCGGTTGGCCAGAAGAACCGCGACTAAAGGTCCTCCGCCCCGACGGCCACCTGGCGCCCACGTGGACGGGCCTTTAGTCGCGGTTCTTAAGCAACCGCGACTAAAGGGTGGGGCCTTTAGTCGCGCCCGTTCGGTCGCGGTTGCGCAACCGCGACTAATGGCAGTTGCGAACCGCGACCAAAGGCCCTTTTTCCACCAGTGCTAGTTATGTCACTAAGAGAAATATTGGAAGAATTTAAGACAGTTGGAAACTTGGAATTTGTAAATTACTACCTTGGACATCCTCTGGCTTCTTGCGCTTCACCCTATCAACAACCTTGTCCATTGAGTTATCTTCACCAATGTCTAATCTTGCCCTCTTTCTTCTGTTCTCCCCCACCACAGAAAGCACAACATTTTGATCAGCCTGATCAGTAGAATGAGTGACATCTTCCATCCGCTCATCCTCTAAACCTACCATTCCTTCCATCCCCTGTTCAAAACTTTCCGTGTTCATTGGAGGGTCAAGACAAGTCTTGCTAGCAAAATCCTCTAGGATATCAATTTTATACGCATGTTCTTTCTCATCACCCTGTTGTAGATCAGCACCATCAACTTGTACTGCACAATAAAAAATGTCACATAGACGCGTGAAGAGGGAGTATATATAACTCCACACCAATAATTAACCAAAGTACCAAATATTAAGCAAAATAAGAGGCACACCACTTCTTTACCAGATTGTCCAGTAGAAATGGCATCCTGGGTTGTTATCACTGATACCGTTGTAGCAGTAGTTTGTGCCACAGGGCTCTCAGAATTGTCTGCGGGTTCACTTCCCATATCAGCATCTTCTGCTGTTTTAACAAACAAGAGATTGGGGCGTCTGGGGTGTTTTTTTGCTGCTTCCTTCCACTTTTGTTTTGTTTCACCGTTCACTCCATCATGGAGGGTGACCTCCTTAATACGTCGCAGGGACTGGATCATCTTGCTGCAAAAGCCATTTAGATCCTTACATAGCAGCTGGAGCGACTCGAGGAGCGGTAGAGCTCCCTCTTGGACTTCCAGTTCAGTCATGACTTCAACCACGATGCATAGTTGTCGCAGGTTTCCAAGTGCACCTTCTACGATGACGAGGTTGTCCAGTTGAGATGCAATCATCTTCAGGTATGCCAAGCAGCGCACTCTGCTTAGGGCAACAAGAATATCCCCGCCCAGCTGATGATGAGGGGATGAAAGGCACAGCTTAGTGAGACCACCTAGCATGGTAACAAATGGAGGCAGGCTGCATATGTTGCCCCCTTGTAGCTTGAGCGAACTAAGATAGCAGGAGGAAGCTTCTTCTTTTTCTAGGGACAAGTTCACGAGCAAGTCTTGGAACCATTTATCATTGCAATGTAGTGAGAGTGAATGAGCTTTTTTCACATCGGTGCTTCTCTTGATGAACCCCTTGATGGCCTTTGAGACATGAGTGTAGTTGTTGGTGTTGCTGCTGCTGCCGCTGGCAGTGGGATCCCTGCTATTATTACTGGACTGCTCACACCATATTTTCACCTTCGTCAAGTGTTTCATATGCTCCATGAACTGTGCAAATCCTTGGCTCTTGTTGCTGTCCACAACAAATCCTGCTACTGTTTCCAATTTGCTATTCTCCGAGAACCAAATTTGCAGCTTATGCATTTTCCGTCCTCCTACACCTTGCTGGAGCTTGAACTTTCCAAATAGATGAATCAGGCATGGCAGCTCCATGACTTGTGTCGGCAGGACCTCTATCTTGGTTTTTCTTACATCCAGCGTCTCCAAAAGTTGAAGCTTTTTTATCTCTTTGGGGAGCACCGCAACCTTATGTGCAGCCCCAAGGCTTAAGTACCTGAGCAGCAACAGGTTGCTGCATATCTCCCTAAGATGCTTGTCCTCCAAGTGGTTACTGCATTCTTCTAAATCCAAAACTCGAAGCAGTTCATATTTGGAAAAATCCAAGACTGAATCATGCGCCTTGCCAAAGACCGTCAGAGACCGAACAAGAGATAGATCATTTACTACTCTAGCACTTGCGTCATGGAGAGAGAGCCAACGGATTTTGCTGGGTGGAGGTGGGGGAGCCATCTGATCATATAACAAGGTAATGAAGTTGTCACACTTGGACATGTGCAGGATGAACTCAAGCATCATGCCGTGAGTATGGTATGTCTTCACCTGATCTTTGTTGTTTTTGCTGCTGGCATCTGTATGTTTGATGATGCTCCGGTTGAGAAGCTCTTTGAAATTGGCTTTAGCAGCATCCAGAGCATTACACATATAATCTCCTTGGATAAACCCTTCAGCGCACCATTTCCTTATTAAGCTTCCTCTCCTAACTGTACGACCACTACGGTAGATACCGAGATATAGTAAGCACGTCTTGACATCATGTTTAACAAGGCTGGTGTAGCTATGGACAAGCACACGCTTCATTCTTGCTAACATCTCTTTTGTTTCCAGATGTGCTCCCAGGTTGTGGCATAATGTTGCCCAGTTTCCATGTGTTGGATTACCTGTGCTTTGCAAGTACCGTGCTGTGGTAACAAGAGCAAGGGGTAAACCATCACACTTCTTCAGTGCTTCCGAGCCAAGTTGGTCCTCTTTATCGATTGGTGGATTGTCGTCTTGAAAAGCTTCCTTGAAGAATAATAGTCTCGAGTGTTCATCGGCAAGAGTTTTCATTGCGTACACATGATCATGAGCTGCTGAGCTGCTGCAGGCATTTGCTACTGAATGAATGGCTGTCGTCACCAAAACTCTGCCGCTCAACCCCACAAATGCATCTTTTATATCATGCCAAAATTCTGTCCGCATGTCATCAATAACAATGAAGAACCTACCAGGAGGAGTACATGGTCAAACATGGAGAGATACCAAGTGGAAATTAAAACAGAGTAAATTTCATTTTGTGTACCCACAAAGATGATAATACTGAATCTAGCTAGGAGAATTGCTGGACTCTGCAAAAGTATGAAAGATGCAGACTGCTCTAGATCGAGATTGAATCATCAAACAGGGATGGAGTTGACAAAAAAAAAACCAAGATAGCTTAAATTAGTTACCTCTTGGTCCCAAGGTATAGTCTAAGGATTGCGCAGAGCTTGCTGAGGTTACCTCCACCATTGGTGGGGATGGCAAATTGCTGGAGTATCTCCTTGATAACATTTGTTGGGACCCCTTGCTCCGCTGCAGAGACCCATGCCCGAGCTTCGTATTGGTTCTCAATTGTGTCATACACACACCTGGCAAGGAGAGTCTTGCCTATACCATCGAAACCAACAATGGAAATCACCTTGAGCTGCTGTTGCTGCTGCTGGATCAGCTCGAGAAGCTCCTCCCAGGGTGCATCCATGCCCACGGGTTGGCCAGCTGAGAGGGTGTCATCTATCACCATCTGTGTCGCCGTCTCACATGCCATCACCGACGACGCCACTGAGGAAGAGGAGGTGCCAGCACCGATGTTGGCGCTGTAATAAGTTTCTCTCAGCTTGGATGACTCCTGTGATATTTTCTTGAGCTCGCGGATCGCCTTGGCAAACTCCTTACGGACTGTCACCGTCTGCACCCGGTGGACAGCCTGACGGATCCATGTCGACGCCCCAGAGATGGTCACCCGGTGCATGAAGCGGTCGATGCAGTCCTCGATGGCATGGGCCAAGTCACGTATGATTTGGATCCAGGCCCTCTTCACATGGTCGCCGCTCCTCCAGCGACAGTCATCATCTTGCTGAATGGCAGCGGAGATCAACGCAAACTCTCTTTGGATGTAGGTGATGTCATGCTCCAGATTCTGCCGAAGCTTGTGATTTGCAGCTAAGAATTCGAGGAGCTTCGGCGCGATCCTACCGACAAAAGCGGTGGCCGCCGCAGCCTCCATGGATGTTGGTGATATCTGTGTGTGGTTGGAAGATCAGATCATGGAGTTTCGTGGATAGAGAAAAGAGGCGAGGACGGCACATGAGCAGCCATGGCCGGGCAAAGGTAGGTAGCTACGAGTGCCCACCTATAGAATATATCTTTCTCCAGTTTAATTAACATCCCTGATCTGCCATCCCATCCTCTGGAGTTAATTATGGACACTACATATGATGGTAAGCATATCCGGATTTAACCTGGCCGAGCGGAATCCGCCAATCATTTACGCTTTGGAGATTGGTGCAGGCGATTACCTCCGCCCGAATTACTTATCTCGGATACAGATCTATCTAGACACGTTTTAGTGTTGGATGTATCTAGATACATTTGTGTTAGATACATCTATATGTAGACAAATCTAAGGCAAGTAATTTGAGACGGAGGGAGTACATTTTAGGGAAAATTGCAAATACAAGCCAAAATACCTTCCATGTAGGAGTAGTACTTTGTGTTTTCTTTTTTTGCGAGGTTAAGTTAGAGAGTTGCACGGAGAATGAAGGTTGCTTACATACTTCCATATTCAAACCACCCAAATTTCAACTATCTCAACCAACTTAGAAACATTTCTTAGGTTTTACACAATTTTGTTAATTATTTGTCATATTCCAACAAAACTCTGTAACACTTTATAATTGAAAATGTGAATAGATAATTTAAATTCATGTGAATTGTGTGTTGAATGGTTATGAAATTAATTGACATATGTCTGAATGTTTCTGAAATTGATGTGAACAATCATTGCAACTTTGTTGATAATTTTGTATGAAATTTCACAAGAAAAATTTCAAAATAAATGATTTTTTGTTAAAATATTGAAAAAGTTACTAAATTCTAATCAAATAAGTGAGATACGTGTAAAAACATATTGGAACGGAATTGAAACAAATTCACGTTTGTAACATTCGATGATTCATTGCGATATAATGTTTGGAAATATGTAAAAAGTTTTAAAAATGAAGTCAATAATTCATAGGAAAAACACATTTGGAGATCTGAAACCTTTAGTCTCTGTTCGGTTAATCCTCTCCAAGAGGATTGACGAGAATTGAGACGTATTTTGACTTACAAGGGGTTTAAATCCTCCTCAGACCCCTTCAATCATCTCCTCTCCTCGAGAGGTTTGGAGGGGATTGGCGAGGATTGGGACGTATTTTGATCCTCCTCAAACCCCTTCAATCCTCTCGGATCCACACTCAACTGAACAAGGCCTTAAGCAATCAGTGAATCAAAATCATTTCATAACCACTGCAGTTTTTTGTAACATGGCACGCTCACGATAATTGCAACTTTTCGAAACAAGATAGGCTCACGTGAATTAGTGTGATAAATAGCTTTGAATGATCGGAGAGAGTGTAGAAACAATATTTCTTTTTTCCTTGTGATGGGACAACTCGATTGCAAATGCTTTCTTTATCTTTCTATACCTTGTGGTGGGACAACTAAATTGCAAAAGCCGACGAGAGAGAGAGGGGCCAAGCACGTGAGCTGGCCCAGCTATTTAATTCCCGACAAGGAGTGGTGGTGGGCCCCACTCCTACAATGATGGTAGGAAAAGAACAGTCCATTAGCTAGACTAAATGCAGAGAACACCTTCTGCACTGAGTCAGCACAATCATTGCGCAAAGAGCATATCCTCAAGAGCATATTCTCTCGGGTTCTAATTTGGTGGCTCATATGATGGACTGGCCTATTTGGCCTTTCATAGTTCGCTTTCAATCCTCATTTGTCTATATACCCAACCATGCCCTCAAATTGCCTGGCCACATGTGTATGATTGGTGAGGATGAAGAGAAAGGGATAACGTGATTCGAGGTGGGTTGCCTCTGACGTGATGGACTACCTAATTTTCTCCACATATGGACTCAATGTGAGGGTTTGCGGATAACATGTACATACGAGAACAATTTAGGGGGCTCTAGTTAGATATCGATTTTTTTCTCTCCTGTCCAGGTTGCCCACCCGCAACATATGAGGGCAGTTTGATGGGTTGGGATTGAGATGCTTTTATTAGGTCTCCTTGTATTTATATTTTGATCATATATTTAATTAATAAAATATAAATAATATGTCACAACTATTATATGATGAGAATCCTCTTTTGAATACAGTACAATGGTATATCTTTTGTAGGATATAAATCATGTTTTGTTAGTCATGCAAATGGTACGCATTGACCCAAAATACAAGGGGTTTCAATAAACTTAGACGGAGGAAGTGCACTTTATACTCCCTCCGTCCCATAGTAGTGGATACAGTTTTCTTCAAAAGTCAAACTTTGTAAAGTTTTACCAAGTCAAAAAGAAAAATATCAATAATAGTAATACCATATGCATTCACTATAAAAATATATATCACAATGAATCTAATGGTACTGGTTTGATATTGTACACTCTATAAACCTGATCAAAGTTGATGAAATTTGACTTAAAAAAAATCTATGCGCAGTATATCATGGAATCAAATGTTCAAAGACAACGCTACAAATATTCCACTTTTTACTCCGAGTAAATAGAGAACGTGTGTGTCTACTAGACTAAGGAGTGATAATAAATAAATGGTTAGAACCAGCTTGGAGCGAGAGAGAAAGAGAGAGAGGGAGGGAGGGAGAGAGAGCAAAGGCTGAAAGCTAGTAAAATTTTCATAGGTGCGTCCCCCGCTCCATTGCAAAATCTCTCAGCGACTGGCGTTGTGTAGCATTGAAGAATACACATAATCAATGGGTCGGTCGCCATCCTCCACCGGTGTCGCCGGCGTGAAGAAGGGCCCGTGGACGGTAGAGGAGGATATACTGCTCATAAACTACTTCCAGAGGCATGGCAACGGCGGCAACTGGCGAACCTTGCCCCAGTGCGCCGGCCTGAACCGCTCCGGCAAGAGCTGCCGCCTCCGCTGGACCAACTACCTCCGCCCCAACATCAAGCGCGGAACCTTCACCGACGATGAGGAGAAAACCATCATACACCTCCACTCCATTCACGGGAACAAGTATGTGTATTATTCTCTGTTGTGTCTGTCGATATCTTTCTTCTTCTCCAACTCCGGTGTCAAGCCACACTGTGTCGCTGCTGAATGCTTACGAATTGAACTTTAAACAGGTGGTCGGCGATCGCGACTCATTTGCCGGGGAGAACAGGCAATTTTATCAAGAATTACTGGAACACGAACCTGCGCAAGAAGCTGCTCCAGATGGGCATCAACCCCGTCACGCACCGACACACTGACCTCAGCATGCTCAAGGGGCTCCCCGGCCTGCACGCCGCTGCCCCCGGTAATAGCCTCTCCTCTGGTGTCAGCATGGGCACCAGGGCACAGCCCCACACCAACGCGGCCAGCTTCGCCGGGAGCAGCTCGGACATGAACACTCTCGGGATCAAGGACAAAGCAGCCAGCTTCGCCGGGAGCAGCAGCTCGGACATGACTACTCTCGGGGTCAAGGACGAAGCCGCCAGCTTCACTGGCAGCCACTCAGACATGAAACCTCCCAGGATCAAGGACAAAGCCGCCAGCTTTACCGGCAACTACTCGAAGATGAAACCTTTCAGGATCAAGGACGAAGCACTCAGCTTCACTGGCAGCTACTCGGACATGAATTCTCTCAGGATCAAGGACGAAGCCACCAGCTTCACAGGCAGCTACTCGGACATTAAATCTGTGAGTCTCCAGGACGAAACCACCAGCTTCACTGGCAGCTACTCGGCCACCGGCACTGGCTGGGACATGAATGCTCTCTCCGGGCTCCAGGCCGACCCCGACAAGTTCCAGCTCCTCCAGGACCATTGTTGGGTGATCAGTGCTTCGTTGGGCGCCATGAGAGCCCTTGTTGAGAAGCTGGACATGCTGCTGCTAGCTTATTCATCTCCTCAGGAATGCTCCTCCAAGAGGGTGAAGGATGGGATGCACCTTCTCAAAGATGACCTTGAAGAGATAAGCTCCTACCTTGATGAACTTTTAGAGGTTGAGGACCCTCCCCCGATGGCCATGTGCTGGATGAATGAGGCACGCGAACTGTCTTATGACATGGAGGATTACATTGACAGCTTATTATTATGTGTGCCACCTGACCATTTCAACAAAAATAAGAAGAGGAAGAAGAATAAAAAGAAGATAATAAAGAAGAGGCTCAAGTGGCACAGACAGATCACATACATTGCGCAAGTGTCAGAACATGGTGTCAGGACCAGCAAACGCATTCATGTTACTGTTGTCCCTCCTCTTCCCAAAAAGTCCAAGATTGCGGAAACAATATCAGAATTCAGGATCTATGTCCAGGAGGCAATTGAACGGCATGACAGGTATAAGCTCCATTGTTGCAGCAACTTGAGGAGACATACATTCTTGTCCAATGGCCGTATGCTTCCAATGCCATATGAAGAAACCGATGATCATGTTGTAATCGATGGCCGTATGAATGAGTTTATCAACTCACTGGTAGCTGATGTTGCTGCAGATCAGCAGCAGCTCAAGGTGGTATCTGTCCTTGGATCGGGATGTCTGGGTAAAACTACACTTGCCAAAGTGCTGTACAAAAGAATTGGGATGCAATTCGATTGCAGAGCTTTCATTCGAGTGTCCAAAAAGCCTGATATGAAGAGCCTTCTTCACAACCTGTTCTTGCAACTCCATAAGAAGAAGCAGCCACTACCTGCCAATTGTAATGAACTTGGCATCAGCGACATTAATATCAGCAAACATCTGCAAGATAAAAGGCACTGTTAACCCAGTCTCTTTATTCTAGTTTATGTTTTTTTTGCGGGATTATTCTAGTTTATGTTAACCCAGCAAACTTCAGTTTTTACTATTATCCTGGCACAGTATATCTGATATGCGTGAATTCTTGGCATGCAGGTATCTAATAGTCATTGATGACTTGTGGGATGCATCAGCATGGGATATTATTAAATGTGCTTTTCCGAAGGGAAGCCATGGCAGTAGAATAATAATAACCACACAGATTGAAGATGTTGCATTAACATGTTGCTGTGATCACTGGGAGCATGTTTTCGAGATGAAACCTCTTGACGACGATCACTCAAGAAAGCTATTCTTTAACAGACTTTTTGGTTCTGAAAGTGACTGTCCTGAAGAATTCAAACAAGTTTCAAATGAAATTGTTGATATATGTGGTGGTTTGCCGCTAGCAACAATCAATATAGCTAGTCATTTGGCAAACCAACAGACAGGATTAGCACTTGATTTGCTGGCATACATGTGTGATTCACTGAGGTCCCATTCTTGGTCAAGTTCTACCTTGGAAAGAACGAGAAAAGTACTGAACCTTAGCTACAATAATCTTCCTCAGCATCTGAAGACATGTTTGCTGTATTTTCATATGTATCCAGAGGGCTCCATAATCTGGAAGGATGATCTGGTGAAGCAATGGGTGGCTGAAGGGTTTGTTGCTACAGGAAAAGGGAAAGAGCAAGATAAAGAAACGACAGAGAAAACTGCAGGAATCTATTTTGATGCGCTTGTTGATAGAAGATTCATTCAACCTTTATATATCAACTACAACAATAAGGTGTTGTCCTGTACAGTTCATGACGTAGTACGTGATCTTATTGCAAAAAAGTCTGCAGAAGAGAATTTCATTGTGGTAGTAGACTACAATTGAAAAAATATAGCACTTTCCCATAAGGTTCGTCGTCTATCTCTCATCTTTGGTGATGCAAAATATGCCAAGACACCAGAAAACATCACAAGGTCACAAGTTCGGTCACTCAGATTTTTTGGATTATTCAAGTGTATGCCTTGTGTTAGAGACTTCAAGGTTCTCCGTGTCCTAAACCTTCAACTATCTGGTCATTGTGGCGCCCATGACCCCATAGACCTCACTGGCATTTCAGAGCTGTTTCAGTTAAGATATTTGAAGATCACAAGTGATATCTGCATAAAACTACCAAACAGTATACGAGGGCTGCAATGTTTGAAAACGCTCGATCTTATGGATGCAACAAGAGTCACTGCTGTTCCATGGGATATTATACATCTCCCACACTTGTTGCACCTGACTCTTCCGGTTGACACAAATCTGCTGGATTGGATAGGCAGCATGACTGACTCAGTCATCAGTCTGTGGAGCCTTGGCAAGCTGAACTACCTGCAGGATCTTCATCTTAACATGTCGTGTATTCCTTCACTTCTGGGCGTGGAAGCTCTGGCTCATTTGATCGGAGGGCATGGTAACCTGAAAACTATAGTAATGTCTCATGGCTCATCGGTGATTCCTGGCGCCTCAAAAGCAATAATTTCCTGGGATGACTTGGAACCTCTCCCCCTTCTCCAGAGATTTGAATGCTCGCCGCACAGCTGCATCACATTTTCCCGAATTCCTAAGTGGATTAAAGAACTTAGCCACCTGTGCATTCTGAAGATTGCAGTGGTGGAACTGCAGATTAGTTGGGTTGATATTCTGAGAGGATTGCCTGCCCTCACTGCTCTGTCTCTGTATGTGCGGCGTGCGCCCATTGAAAGGATCATCTTCAACAAGGCAGACGGGTTCTCAGTTCTCAAGTACTTCAAGTTGACTTGCACGAGTGGTATAGCGTGTCTAAAATTTGAGGCGCAAGCAATGCCTAATCTCTGGAAGCTCAAGCTAGGTTTCAATGCCACCCCCCGAATGGACCAACATCAACTTATCCGCATCGAGCATATGCCAAACCTTAAAGGGATATCCGTAAAATTTGGGGGTGTAGCTGCTCATATAGAGTATGCGAGGTCTGTTGTAACTAGTCATCCGAGAAATCCTACAATCAATATGCAATTGGTGAATTTTTGTTCAAATTGTGATGGAAGCACAAAACAGAACCTTCTCACCAACTGGGCTGTCAAGTCACGTGCCGCAGCCTCAGCACCAATGGAGGATCCTCCCAGTCACTTCACCACCACCTTCTCCAGCTCCGATGGCATCTTCATGGCAGACATGAACTTGGAGGCGCTCTGCCGCCTATCTGACAACCTCGCCGCCGTCTTCCGCTCGCCGGATGTCTTCGCCTTCCTTGTTGACATGCACATCGTCGTGCCCGACGCGCCCGACCTGCCTGTGCACCTTCCCATGCTCTGCGCACGAAGTCCCTTCCTGCATGATTTCTTCATGCGCCGTGCCGCTGCCGTGAAGGGCAACCGGCTGGACCTCCGCGAGCTTCTGGGTGAGAAGATGGAGGTCGGGTACGAGTCATTGCAGCTGGTGCTCGAGTACCTGTACACCGGCTGCGTCGGCGACCTTCCCAAGTCGGTGTGCGTCTGCGCTGATGTAGATGGCTGCACGCATGTCGGCTGCCACCCCGTCATCTCCTTCATGGTGCAGGTCCTCTTTGCCGCATCCACCTTCCAGATTGCCAAGCTCACCAACCTCTTCCAGGTCCACCTCTTCCCCCCCTTCTCCATTGCGATGATTTCTTCATATCAGACATTTATTGTCCTTGGTGGGAATGGGATGTGTATTTATCAGATGTTTCAATGCTATATTTCAGCCGAATGGGATAGATCCATATCATATTATTCTAGCTAAAATTCTTTAATTTCAATGCTTTTACAAAACATCGATAAGCATTACATTTGTGCTGAATATATGGTACTCATTAAATTGGTCAAGTTTTTTATTCATGGGGCATGTTGACTTGTTTGGAGCTCCCTACTAGGGTGCAACGCCCGTTTAGGTTCAAGAATCAAGACCCATTCCTGGCTCAGTTTGATGTAGGAATGGAAATAAATTGAGTTGTCTGTGCATGTGGTGGCGTAAATTGGTGTCCCAGTTTCAAAACCTGTCCGCTTAAATGTGTTGATGATGCAAATCATGCAATTGGTTGCTCCAGCGCTGTGTCATTTTGATGATATTTCAGGGATTCTTGTTTTGAATTTTTATAGGAAAAAGGAAAGGTAACTGTTTAAAGCATGAAAATGCTGCTCTTCTAGGTGTATTCGAGAAAAAAAACTGTTCATGATAAACATGCTTGGGTCATACTATCCAAATCTAGGCTCCATGAATACCAACAGCTAATACATGTAGAGCAAAAATGATAGCATATAAATACAGCAGTTTTCCCCCGAAGTATTTGCAACAAGTCCGTGACAATAATATTCATCTAGTTTTTTCACTTACTAAAGTTTCGAATGTCAGTTTGTGTGAGAAGTGAATTATCCCAACAAACAATAATTAATTAATTATAGTAGTACCTAAGAACTAAGATTCCTAATACCTATGCACATATTAGCTCAATAACTCCTCATTTTCCATTAGGACCAATGAATATTCTCTCAAGAGAGAGTATTTAAATAGGGGACCCCCTTTTTGTAGGTAAATAATCATCAATCTGTGCATCTACACATTCTAGAAATTTTTAGACAGGGCGTTGCTTAAAATTTTGCTTTTTCAGATTTTTATTTAGTATTTTTGTTTTGAAAGTTCTGACTTGTGTATCTATGATGTGATGATAATTCGTGTCGGGTTGTTACTTGTAACATTTTACTATCATAGTGTTTTGCGTTTTTAAATAGCCAATACTAAGCCACGTCTTTTCCATGCAGTGGCGTCTCCTTGATGTCCTTGATGATGTTGAAGTTGATAACCTTCCATTGATCTTATCTGTTGCAAACTTATGCAATAAATCATGCATGAAACTTCTCGAGAGATGCCTTGAGATGGTAGTTCGGTCAAATCTTGACATGATTACTCTTGAGAAAGCATTGCCTCCAGATATTATCAAGCAAATTGCTGATTCACGCCTAAGTCTTGGGTTAGTTTCAGCCGAAGACAAGGGATTTCCTAACAAACATGTAAGAAGGATACTCCAAGCTCTTGACAGTAATGATGCGGAGGTAGCGACGATCCTGCACCAGGAAGGGCAGACTAATCTTGATGATGCGTTTGCGTTGCACTATGCTGTTGAACATTGTGACTCAAAGATCATAACAGAAATTTTGGACATCACACTTGCAGATGTTAATCATAGAAATCCTAGAGGTTATACTGTTCTTCACATTGCTGCCAGGCGAAGAGATCCCAAAATTCTTGCTTCTCTTTTAACCAAGGGTGCTCGGCCTTCCGATCTTACATTTGATGGAAGAACAGCAGTTCAAATCTCAAAAAGACTCACAAAACATAGGGATTACTTTGGGGTTACTGAAAAAGGGAAATCGTCTCCTCAAGATCGGTTATGCATTGAGATACTAGAGCAAGCTGAAAGAAAAGCACAACTTGGAGAAGAATGAGTTTCTGTTGAAATGGCCGGTGACGGTCTATGTGGAAAGTTGTTGTACCTTTGAAAACTGAGGTAATATCATCTAAAAACGAAAGTTTTTTAAATTACCCGGTTTTTATGGTTTGCACATGGTGGTGTTTTGCATGTGGAGTGAAGTTCTCCTTGTGCAACTTGCAAATGTGCTACTTTTATCTTCTCTTGGAAGTTGTGTTTTCACTCAATTATTTCCTTGCAATGCAGGTTCTTTGATGAAAATACTCTTTCCGATTGAGGCAACAGTAGCAATGGAAATTCCTCAAGTGAATGGTACTTTGGAATTTACTTTTGATTCTAGTCCAAATCCACATCTGGAGATACGATGGCCAACCGTTGATCTAAATGAATTTTCTTTCGAAACGAACGATGCACACTTGACTCGGCTGAGAGCCCTCTCCAAAACAGGTGAGGCACAGCCTGCCTTTGTATAACCACCGCGCTTCTACATTATTTATATTTTCAGCCTAATAATATTCACTTCTTTAGCTAATCTGCTGTGTAACATTCTGAATAAGAAAGCTTGTTCAGCTGAAGTTGAGATCCAATAATCTTTTCCCAGCTGTATTCTACTTTCGTTGCTGTCTCCTTGGGCCTGTTTAGTCGGCTCTTGTACTGAACTTCCTCGAAAAATAAATGAAAATCCAATTGTCTGTGGGTTGAATATTTTCCTGTCTACCAGTCCAACTCGGCAAACGCTTCTTCCCATGTTGTTCGAATGTGCTGAAGAAGATCATGGATGATGAATCTGAGCTGGATTCCATCGGAAGAGACACATCCACCGAGAGGAAGCGGAGGTTCCATGAGCTGCAGGACTTGCTTCAGAAGGCATTCAGCGAGGATAAGGAGTCGTCTAGTTTGACAAGTCTCAGGTATAGCTCGAATGCCGACGGGTGACATGAAAAGCAGCCAGAAATGCATGTCTGGGTTATACCGTTATACTAGTACTATATCAGATTGGAGTACGACTGGAAAGCAGCCAGATATTCAGATTGTGCCTTTTATAAAAGAAAATTTTCAGGTGAAATTAATCTAGAACTCGGTTCTCTTCTCGGATCGAACCTTCTACAAACTGCAAGCAGCCGATTGTTTGGAACTGCAGTTATCATTTAACGCCAGAACATGTTCATGGCATGTGCTGTTCTTTTCTCTGTTCTGCACTTTTGAGGTGATGCTGTTGTGTAAATTTCAGCAACTAGTACAAATTTGTGGGAACTTGTAGCTGGTACGTAGTAGTAGATTAATTCAGTTCACACCGAAATGCGCTACTGATAGACCAGCGTGTCAGTTCAATTCGGCATGCTCAACTAATTCTTCTTGGCATGTACTATTCGAGTTAGGTCCCTAGCTATGCGTATGGGACGAGTGGAATAAATATGTCTCACTTGTCATACGGTAGCTCTTCCCATATGACAAGTGAGATATATTTATTTTGTCTTTTTTTTCTTCAGGTTTATTTGATTTTCTTTGTTTCTTTCTTCAGTTTTCACCCTTTTTTTGTACTGTTTTCTCCAGTTTTTTCTTCTTTTCTTGTTCTTTTCCTCCTTATCCTTTTAACACATGTCTACTTTTTTCATACAAATTTTACATTTTCCTATACATCATATACATTTTTATACGTGTTTAACATTTTCCCAATACATGATTAACATTTTTCAAATACATCTTTTGAATACGTGTTGAACAATTACCAAATACACATGGAAACATTTTTTGAATTGATATGAATTTTTTAAAACTACACGAAATATTTTTGTACATTGTATAAATATTGTTTCTAAATGTCACTAAAATATTTTTGAAATGGGTCGACATTTTTTAATCGTGAAATATTTTTGGAAACGTGTGAACTCTTTTTAAATGTCTCAATTTGTTTTTTCGATACAATCATCATTTTAAAAAATTACGCTACTCCCTCCGATCTGAATATGCAACCTCTATACTTTTACATTGCATTAGAACTTTTCAAATTTGTGGTTTATATATTTTTTGAATTTTTATTATATTTTTTGGATTATTTTGGAAATAGGAACAAAATAAAAAAATTAAAAAACAGAGAAGGGAAACGAATTAACCTGCGTGAAGCTACTTAGGCCGGCCCATTAGTATGGATGTTGATGCCAGACGAGCTTGTGTCTTGCTGCGGGTGAGACATAGCTGCTCCCAACACCACTAGTACTAGTAGTACGTCCTGTTGTGCCGGAAGAGGATTTGTAGCACCTAGGTGCTCCAAATATTGAGAAATTTGAAATAAAAACTGAGAAAATTGAAATAAAAACTGGGATTTTGGAATATCAAACTTGGGGATTCGATCTACTTTCGTGTGAAATTTCATGAAAAATATATCAGGAAAGGTATCCGTGGCAAAAAAGATAAAATAAAAAATTCTATGTATGAAAAAAGACTGTTTGGATGGATTTTTATTCGGACAATATTTCCTTCGCCACGGATACATTTCCTGGTATATTTCACAAAACTTCACAAGAGAATAGATTGGGAACCCAGGTTTGATATCCCTTCAGATTTTTTTTTGATTCTTTGGTATTTTTTAAGTTTAATATTTGTACAGGGGTGTGGAGCACCAAAGAGCTCCTGCGTATTTTCCTGATTGTGCCTTTCTACCTTAAAAAGTTTTTCTTTCGGTGGCTAGTTTACTTTGCTGTGTTATTCTAATAGCACATGTTTATAAAGAGAAGGTGTGTTATAACATGGTGTGAAAATTCAGAGCCACACAGTTCTAAATTGTACAATCCAAAACATGACACATTTGTATCGTTTTGTCAATCAAAGATGACATCTTCAAATTAATTAAGAGCCCATATAAATGATACTCCCTCCTTCCATATATATAGGGCCTAGTACATTTTTTGAGGTTGCCGTTG